TCTTCAGGTATGGGAAAGACAACCTTCATTAATTCAACAACTATTTCTTCAGACAATTCCTCATTCTTAGTTTCACAATCCATTTTTCCCTTGTCTCCTTGATTACCTTCGGGCTCTTCAGCAATATCAACTACCATCACTTCTTGTGGCTTAGACAAATTGCCATTGCCACTTTTGAGACCTTCAGTAGTCTCGCCTTTCGCAGATACCATTGGATCAGTAGCCATATCTTATTCGTTCTCAAAACCATTAGTGGTCTTGACTATCAATGATGCGAGTGAGTCGATAAGACCTGCTTGTTCGCCTTCGAGACCATCAGTAGTCTCGATCATCAGCACTTCTAATGGTTCGACAAAGTGCGTATCAATAACATGTAAAGGATCTGAGTCGACCTTCATGGATCTTTTTGGTTTTTCACCAAATTTCAATCGGTCATCTTTCATAGACTTCTGAATCAAATCTCTGAAAAGAAAAGATTGAGAAGTATTATGATCCAAAAAATTATGATATTTGCATAAACCTCTTTTTTGTTTATGCTCTAATGGTGGATTTTTACTTCCTTGGGGCACTATAATCTGACCATCTGAAACTAAAACATCAAACATTTCATCATATTTTGACACATCAAAAGTATATGTTTTAGTAGTAAATATATCATTTTTTGGTTCTTCGACCGTCTTTTCTTTTGACGGTCTTATAGGTTTACATGCATATGGAGCTCCAGCTTTTAATTCAGCCACATTAACTTCTCCTTCTTCCATGTATTCATCCTTAGACTCTATGGAATAATCTTATATGTCTACATAGACCACTTTGTATTTTCTATGATCCTTTGACACCTTATATTTCTCTATTTTCAAATGTTCGACATATCGAACCTTATCAGCTAGTTGAGACATATTTGTAATCGATTGAGGATTAAACTTTTTCCTAATAGAATAATCTAAGCCCCCTCAGCAGCCATTTGGATCAGCTCATGTTCAGGAACTCTAGTGAAGCATATAGACTTTAGGACCCTAAATCTATTCAAATAATATTACATTTACTCGGACGACCTCCTCTTGATTGAGGATAACTCTTTCAAACTTATCTTAGGCTGACCAGCATAAAATTGCTCATGAAATATACCCTCAAGTTGTACCAAGTGCGTATGGAATTTGGAGTCAATGTCATAAATCAAGTAAAGGTACTTTTGTTTAATGAATTAAGAAAATATTTTAATTTGAAACCCTCATCGTTGGCGATATATCCAACTTCTATTTCTTAGCTAGCAATGTGTTCAATGGTCGACTCATTGACATCATCAGCAAACTTGGTAAATTTAGATACCTTACATCCCCTTGGTAATTCTGCCTGTCGAATGAAATTAGGAAAGGGCAAAGAGTAATTGGGCCTCTGAAGTCCAACATTTACCCCAGATCGTGTTAATACTTCTTCTAATACATTTACTATGTTGTTATGCCCAACAGTGGCATTTCTTCACACTCGATCAACATCTTGGTTTCTCCTAACTACAATCGGCCTAGATTCGTATTGTTCAACAAATTCTTCCTCTTCATAAGTGGGTGCTTCCACTCTTCGAGGTTTAAAAGAATTCTCATTGTTTCCCCCCTCTAGTTCTTCAAAAAATCTTAATAGCCTGTGGTGCGTTTGATTTGGTTGGACTCTGAATGAGTCGATCAACCTACTTATTTGGTCAACTACAGGATTGAGGGAAACTCCCATTTGTTGAGTTAAGACATTTACTAACTCTAAATTACTCTCATCCATTTGTTGCCTTAAATCCATAACAGAAGTAGTACTCAAAGATGGTGTGGACTGAGGGACATAACTAACACCACCTGGTCGACCACTTGGGACATAATTGTCTTGGTTTCCAGTGGCCACTGTATTTTCTATATATGTGGTCGGGTTCGACTGTAACCCAACCATCATGGAATAAGACATACCATATTGTTAAGGAACAAATGGTGATATCCCATGCCTAGGTTCTATCATTGTGACTGTTGCCACTGAACCATGAACAACGGTTGATCTTACAGGAGATAAAATTATCGCGCTTTGAGTTGTGATACTCACTGGTATGACGTCTATATTTTATGTAGAAATCTGCCTATGTGCAGTGTTTGTGTCAGAGCGTGGAATTCTAGACTTGAACAAAAGTTTACCACTTGTTAAATTCATACACACAGAAACTAACTATAAAAAACTTTGTAAAATCACACACAAAATACAAAATTATTAGCAATGTCCCACCAGGTGTGCCAATTTGTTTACCTCTGGTTTTGACAAACAACGTTGGTCTCTTAACAAAAAGTTTACTAGCGAGGTCGACTAGGGAATCTCAGTATAATGCTTCAATTTTCTAGTGTTTTCACAAAATATGTTCAAAAGGGTTTGTTCAACTAAGGCGGGACGAATTTAAAAGCAATAAAGCAGAACTTGTAAAATAAAACAAAATATGTTTTAAATTGTAAAAATATATAACATAACATCAAAATAGTTGAAAATGGATTGACTCAAACATACATTTTCCTAGCTTAACTCATTTCGCTCATTCGCTTGGGTACTCTGAGTGACTAGAGTGTAGGAATATGAAAGCTTGTACCTTTGACATTATGCACTATGTGCTTTATTTATAATACACAAAAATAACTACTTTTCAGTGGATTTCGCTTCTTTATAAGCCACGTGTCTCATGTAACTTCCCTCTATGAATCCACGTTCTCCATCCCTGCTATCGAACCCATGTTCTCCATCCATAATATTTTGCTTTGCTAGTTATGCACTCTTTAGGCTTTTTAACATTCCTGGGTCCAATCCATTTCTTTTGAGACCTCTTTTCTGGTCAACTGCGTCCACAAGCTCAATCGATTATTTGTAAAATCTCTCTCAGTCGACTGCTTTTGTAGTCGACTTCCTATAATTCAAAGTTCTCAAAGAACTTTTTTGGATTTTGGTTTGATTTTAACTCTTTGTGAAAATCCTAGTCAACAGGATCTTAGGGGTAAAAATTGGGGTATAACAACTACTCTTATTTAAGTGCCTTCTATCCAGAGATACAAAGGTTAAAATCTTTGTTTCGACGCGATTAAAGGTACTTAAATATAAAACAAATTCTATTTTTGGCCCTAAGATGCCATGCAATGCTTATGATTACGAATGTAAAAGACGAACCCCACAGGAGAAACAAGACACCACTGGGAAAAGTAAAATAATGTATACAAAGCTACGACACAATACAAACTAAGAAAGAGAATTCCATCAGAAAAAATCATTGGGAAACAATACGACTCTGGGGATAACCATGAATAGACAAAGCCAGCATCATAATTAAAGAAACAAAATGCAAAGTAAGAAGTTTAAATGGGGACATCCTTAATAATGCAAGCCACATGCCAATAAGGAGGTAGTCTTTAAAGAAACGATTACCAGCTCGACTAGAGAGGGAAACTTGACTCTGTTGGAGAAAATTCAACTCTGATGGGGAAAAGAGGACTCAACTCTATTAGAGAAAAGCGGATTCAACTCTACTAGGGTAAAGGCGAAAGAGGAGACAGGGTAACATCCACTCAATAAATGAAGATAAAGCGAAGGAACACACTAATTAACAAATAATGATGAACTACCAACTCACAAATGAAGGTAGAAAAAATAGATATATACCGACTCAACAAACAACAACAAAAACCAGTATTGAGACTGGAGAATGAAAAGATTTACTTCAGTGATGAGACTGGTAACATCAGTACTAAGACTGGTAAAAACTCAACTTTATTGGGATAAAGTTCAATGAAGAGAAGGCAATATAAACCCTATTGAGGATGAAAGCCTAAATGAACAGTATACTTCACAGGAGGTGAATACCATCTATCAAAGATCTGATAGGCTAACTATGGTAGACAACACAAGGACACAAGAATAAATACCAACTATTAAAAATCTGATAATCTAACGTTGGTAAAAAACACGAAGTGGAAAGAACACCATCTATCAAAGGTCTGATAGGCTAACGGTGGTGAACAACCAAAAAGTGGTTTGAGTACCATCTATCAAATGTCTGATAGGCTAACGCTGGTAAACAACCAAAGGTTACAAGAGTGGATATCATCTATCAAAGGTCTGATAGAATAACGATGATAAACACCAAGAAGTGGACTCGGTACCATCTATTAAAGGTCTGGTAGACTAAGATGATAAACAACCAAAGAATATAAGAGTGAATATCATCTATCAAAAAATTGATAGGATAATGATGATAAATACCGAGAAATGGACAAAATATCATCTATCAAAGGTCTTACTAGCATTTTTGCAGCTATTTTAACGACTGTAGTTGGCAAACCTTGTTCCGAGAGTTTCTTATCTTAAGGGTTCTTAAAAAAATAGTTTTTTGCGGAGCTTAAAAACTGTTAAACAAATGAAAAGTGCTTTTTGATTAATCAACATAGTGTTCGAGAGTTTGTGTCCCTTGGGTGATTGGAAAAGCTAGAACACACATGAGAAAAGGTGGCGTATCTTTAAATTAAAGGAATCGAGTAAAAAAAAAAACGAAAAAACAAAAGCATCTTATCCCATGAGTATCATCAAATTGGAAACATTTGGAAAAACAGAATAAATGACAAAACATAAAGACCATTGACTAAACAATAAAAATTCTTAGGTAAACGCATCATGGTTCAACTTGTCGTCCCACTTTATAAGTCCAAACTCAACCAAGCATTCTATTTTGTCATTCTTGATTCTTCGACGTGTACGCTGAATTGTAAAGACAGTTGCCAATGTGGCTACACTGACTGCTTCACACATGCAGCCATCGAGCAAGGCTCACACTTTTAAGCAGAAATCCACACTCCCTATGTGGTTTGCTTGTGGCACATTACAACGACTCTAACAACTTCTTGTTATTTAAACATCAAATCAGACTCACACAAACTAACTTAGCAGCTCATAGCTAATTCTATTTACTCACATTTCATTTTTCTTCATTATCAACCGAAATGGCATGCATTTCTTTAGTCATTGATCCAAGGAGCATTATGCATGCATGCCGCGATAGTGAAAGGTGTTGTTATACATATGTAGTTTGCAGTGAAGAAGATTATCACAACGGGGAAGGTGATGATGACGATGATGGTGGTTATGACTATGCTCCTGCTGCATAAACTCTAATGTGTTACCTAATTATAGATATTATCCAATGCTAGTTATTATGCTCACAGAATACTCGTGACCGACCATGTATTGAGATCCTTTATTTATTTATTTTGATTCCCAACAACACACTTGTCATGGAGTTTTAATTCATTCTCTGCCATATGGATTACTTATTTGTATTAAAACTTAAAAGCTTCTGTTGTTCGTCCATGGCAAAGCAATGCTCTTATACCATGTTAGGAATCAGAGGAAGAAAGAAAAAAGAGCTAAAGATTGAAAGCTTGAGGAGACGGTAAAACTCTAATGGAGGTTTTATTATTATTAAAGAAACATAAGAGGATACAAGGGAAGGGTATGTATACCCATTATTCTGCAATATAATAGCAACAGACTAACTTACAAGTAACAGAAACTACCAACAAACTATAGGAGACAGCTAACAGAAGCTAATCACCCAGTAATAACGTTATATTTTAGAACTTTGGCTATGTTCAGCTAGTTGCTGCCGCAAAACCCTTCTCATAACCTTGTTTGATGCCGTCCTTGGAAGAGATGCCACTGGTACTACTTGAGAGACCTGCCCAATCAAGCATTTATTTATTTAGAATACTAAACTATACTGCCGTAATGAACTTCAGGAAAATAAAGAAATTAACCGGTACCCTGAATAATGGATTGAGTGTTTTTTGGAGAGCTGAATTAAAAGACATCTTCAACTTCTGTAAATCTTGTGCTGTGACTTTTGAGTTCTTTAACACAGCAGCTATAGACAACTGCTCCGGCCCACCACCAGAAGGCGGTATCCCTATTGCAGCTGTTTCAACAATATTACTATCTACTCCATTGCATATGCGTTCAATCTCAACAGAACTCACCTATCCAAACAGCATGAAACGTCAGACATGCTAATAAAGTAGAAAGCATGTGCACTCGAATAGAGAAACTGGTTTGTTAACAAATATAACCAAAATAAATTTGATAATCTGTAATTGTAAGTAAAGGGGCTGAACAACATGAAATGAAGTCATCTAATTGGACTCCGTTTGATAAAACTAAGCTATAAGCTGTCAGCTGAAATGCTAACTAACTGAAATTAAAATATTTGTTAAATTTAGTTGTTGAAAACATAAAATGATATAAAAGTACCTATTTATTTAATTTTAGAATATTTAATTTAATTTTATATGTTACCAAACTTAGACAACCAAGTGAAGGAAAAAATATGAGGCAAAATATTTTACCTTAATTCCTCCAAGGTTCATTGTATCATCTGCACGACCATGCGCATGATAGTATCCTCTTGCAGTATGCTCAAATACATCTCCATGCCTCCGTAAAACCTGACTAGAGAAACGCAACTGTAAATATTCAGAAATCCCAAATAATATAAAGGAGAATGGTATACCTACCTTTCCATTCCAAAGAGCCATTCCCTTGAAATAGACACCATAATGATCAGCATTCAGCAATGTATTTGATGCCCCAAGCATAAGGGAGCCAAGAGCTAACTCACCTATTCCTGGAACATTTTGTGGCTGTAATAATAGAAAACAAGATCGAACTTTAGTTTACAAATTTAATCAGAGCATTCATTTGTTTAAGAAAGTGACGTGATGTCGCAGAGATCATTTGAATGTTTAGAAGTTTGGTAGACTAAGGATGAAAATTTTAAAGCAAACAATACATAGAGTTTCAGTTGTCTTTGCAGGTGTAGTTATAATGACATGGTAGTGATAAAGGTTTGTCATAAGACTCATAACTAAGTAAGAAAATATAAGATTTATGTCACTTATGCAGTTATGCATGCAAGACCTGCATATAGTTAACTAGCGCATTGTTCAAAAGTAAAGTACAATGAATAGCACTTACAATAGGATGCCCATCTTCACCGAGAATAAACAAATCGCAGCACATAGCTGGTGTGCTAAAAGCAGCTAATGACTGAGCCTGCAGTAATGATCCAGTGACAAATGCACCGCCAATCTCTGTACCACCACAATATTCAATGATAGGCTGGTAACGGCCTCTTCCCATCAGCCACAGGTATTCATCTACGTTAGATGCTTCTCCGGTGGATGCAAAGCAACTACATTTAAAACAATAGTTCCAATCAGTTACTGCATAATCATCAATGGCATTCACCTTCATGTAGTACTAGGTTAGTGTAGTAGGGTAGTAGATTAAACAGTGCTCACCGGATAGCAGACCAATCATAGCCGGATGTGGAATTTGCGTTTCTCCAGCTCCGTACAAGACTTGGAATCACACCAAGCATTGTTACTTTAGCATCCTAAACAGGGTGCATTATCAGTCAGTATAATAAAACTATATAATATGTTGGAAAGTATGCCTTAATTGCGGTCTGCTCCTCGGCGCCATAATTGCGGCAATTTTGGATTGCCTTCATTGCAGCCTCCAGAACTTTCATTGTACTGGGTATGAGTCAAGATAAGATAATGGGAAGAGTGTAAAATTTATAGCAGGATGGTTTTATTATACCTGTACAAACTTGGCAAAGCCAGACCCAAGCGGGGATCCATTATACAAAGCCATTGAAGCTCCATTTAGCAATGATGCATATACTAGCCATGGCCCCATCATCCATCCAAGATTAGTGGGCCAGCAAACTACATCCCCTTTACGAACATCCAAGTGGCACCATGCATCTGCAGCAGCTTTTAGTGGTGTAATATTGGTCCACGGAATTGCCTTTGGATCACCTATACCACGAGGTCAAACGACAGTGAAATTCAACCCAGATTAATGAAGTTAATGAAGTCTTAGCATTGTATTAATATCATTTTTACCTCAAGTTTTCTGTATCAATACAAATGATTTGGTCTAAATACTCCTGTGTAAGATTTCAGGACAAAATACAAAATTCAACTTGCCTGTTGTTCCAGAAGAAAAGAGAATGTTCGTAAATGTTTCTACTGGTTGTTCCGCAGCTATGACTTCCTTGCCTCTGAATGTTACGTGATAAAAAATGAGAACGGGAATTGAAAAATATCATAATCCGAACTATTCAAGCTGAATTGCTTCCGGATCAGATATAAATATCATTACACGTGAAAATGTGGACAGAATCAGAGGCATATCACCTGCCAATGATTTCTTTCATTAATTGCATATCCATAAAAATATCAAAATTGTAGTGCATACTTGATTTTATTGACTCTCTCCAAAAAATCACACCAGGAAATGTCCCCATTGCGCAGTTTCATGCTAAATCCAGAGCCTCTAGTTGGGATAACTATTGCCGTAGGAGATTGTGCTTCCACAATTCTACTGCATTTGGGAAGCAAGTCAAGTAACAATGTGAGATGGCAATTTACTGATAAACAAAGCAGACAACTCAACTAAAGGGTCACTTTACTAAACAGTTAAAAGGGATTTTCACCTGTAAAGTGGGAGGGCTTTATCGCCACGAAGTATGAGATCCTGATAAATAAAAAAAGGGGAAGGAGAGCAAAGAATAAACAGGAAAAATTAAATAACTACAACAAAATTTATTGGTCGCATAATTGACACCTAACAATGCCAATAATAACTCAAATATCAAGAAATGAACTAGTTTTAAATATGTTGAGACTATTTAATTTTAGATAGGGAAGAATATAAAGAAAGAGTCTAAATAATATAAAGTTGATATTGATTATGTAAGCGACATGAAAATACAATGTTTTAACTAATTAACTGCTATTTATACTAGATCCCTAATCCTAGTTAAATAACTGAACAAATTTTGAAATATAATGAAAGTTGCAAACCAAACCACTACACAGCAGCCATTTAAGATACTCTATTCATTCCTGGAAACAATCATGATATTTGCCAATAGTTTATAGCTATTCAAAGTTGCCTCTCAAACTAAAGCTTACTAAGACTTTAGATCTTTTAAAGATTAGCAGCACGTTGGAAGGATAAATCATCATGATGACAAGGATAATCCTGAAGAACTGGTTGGCATTAACATGAAAGAAGAGTCTTCAGTGGAATGATGATAAGTGGAAGTAATTATGAAAAAAAAGAACAGATATTTTTTAAATCCATCGAGAAAACAAAAGTAATTGTGAGATTCATCAAAAACTCTTGGAACAAAAGGCTTGTGTGAGTCATAACAAAAAAATAATAACCAACTGTAAGAGAAACCACCACTAGCATGATTCATCGGATGAGAAAGAATCAATTAGCAGGAAAGGAGTAGCATGACAATCACCTTCCATGTTTTTTAACCTCAATGGTAGCATTTTAAAATAACTAAATAGTAACAAAAATAGAGACTAAACTGCAATGGCTAACGCAAAAAAATGGAAAATCAAAATATTTTGGGGCTATTTTTTGGCATTCATTGTTGTAGTTATTTTTAATTTGTCACTGCTTTATCTATTGTATGGCTTTTTGAAATGCTAGCAAAACATTGAGGTAAACAAAGAAAGAAAGTTGCACTAATGAATCATATAAGTGATTACTTCTCTAGTTGACATTCCTTCCTGCTGATGAATCACGCTAGCAATGACATAAGTCATTTATTACTCACACCTGCTTAATGCAGCCTAACCCAATCTCTAGTCCAAAAGTGGCACTGCATTATATTAGTTATTTCCCTTTCAGTGTGTTTAAATAAAAGTTTAGCTTAAGCAGGACTACGAGAATAGTTTAAAGTTTATCTAATAATATCATCATTTTATCTAAAGAATAAATAATCTTAGGTGATCGCTTAGGACTGATGCCCACTTGCCAAGATTCATCATATTCATTATGTGTTTCCCCATTAAGGTAGGTTTAGGAATCTAATACTAGTAGAAATGAGGTTAGTACCTTGAATTTGTGTCACATCAAACCAATATCAATTTCATATTATTCAATTTTCATTCTCTCTTCTATTCCTGTTCTACCTAAAATCCCAATAGTTTCAACACTAATAAACATATTTAGTTGAGAAGTCTACAAAGAGGAAAAAAGAAAAGTCGTAAAAAGATATTAGAGATTAAACCTGAGTAAATAT